CGAGTGCCGAGACTGACACTCGACAACAAAACACTTCCGAGGTGAGGAGTTCAGCCCCTCTCAGCAACAACCAGACACAGACAGGGGCATCTTTGCTTCAGATGCAAGTGAGTGCTGAGACTCTGACACTTGACAACAAAACACTTCAGAGGTGAGGAGTTCAGCCCCTCTCAGCATCAACCAGATACAGACAGGGGCATCTTTGCTTCAGATGCAAGACAAATTTTCCCAGCAGGCTTCAGTTCACAGCCAGTGCCCACTCTTGGTGCTGTAATAAAACATCTGTTGTATTTACAATTAAACATCTCCATTGTATTTGCCCAGTTCTTGCCCCCCTCACTGCCTTGGACTGTTTGCAAAGATCATCCCTCCCTGCTCCGATTTCCAAGGTAGCAATACTCCCCTTCACTGCAACTCGAGCCCCAGAAGGCTAATTCAATTATTTTCTAGGTCTACAACTAACACACAATCCTGCTTTGGGCATTCATGGATGATCAGAAAAGAAAAAAAGAAGAAATGAAGAAAACATCAATTGTAAACCCACACAGCAGCAAAACCAAACCAGACACGGTCCTGCCTGGCCAAGGACATCACCTCTCACCAGAGCTGCTCAGAGCATACCACGCTCTGCAGAAACGCATAGCACTGGCATCTCCCCACCTGTGTCAGGGCTGCTCAGAGCATACCACGCTCCGCAGAAATGCATAGCACTGGCATCTCCCCACCTGTGTCAGGGAAAGGGAGGATGGGATGGGGCTGAGCTGGCCTCCAACCACATCCAGGGCCTCACTTAGAGAGCAGGAGTCCAATAGATGTGATTTCCAGCAAAAACACAATTCAGATGCTTGCACGCCTTGAGGAATGCCCTGGCAGGTGTGGGCCAGCAGCTTCTGGCGAGTCTAAGCCTAGAGGATGAAGCCAGGCTGCAGAAGCCCTCAGCCATGCCGCAGACCCCAGGCCAGTCCCTCCCTGGTTGCAGCGCTGCCTCAGGAGGAGCCATCGGAAACCAGAGCAAGGAGGAGGCAGAGGAGAAAGGCGAGCAGCATCCATCAGCCCTACCCACAAGCTATGAGTCACGATGCAGCTCATGTAGCACAGCAAGGAAAAACACACAGCCTCGCAGCCACTGGAGAGCACAGCCCTGCCCGGTGCTGCCTCTGGCTTTGACAGCTGATGCCCAGCAGAGCCCAGATCCTGGCTGCTGGGGCCTGGAGGGCACCAAGGCCTTGGGCTGATTCAAGCTCTCCCAGCATCTGGCCAAGCGCACAGCCAAAATGCATTTCAGAGCCTTCCTCCTGTCCCAACAGACTTTTGAGCCAATATTCTTCCTACCAAGACAGGTTAGGAGGGGAAAAAATGGGATAAAAAAACCTGAGCATTATTCCTGGGTATTTCATGGACTAGCAGGTGTTGCAGGGGAAGGGGGACTCCCCAATTCCCCTGTGGTTTGGCCATGAAGACCAAGCTCTACATCCAGCCCAAGTGGTGCAGAGCAGCCTCACAGCAAGCACATGGCAGTGCCCACCATCCCCAAAGCAAACCCCTTTGGGTTTGGCGCTCACAAGCTGCGTGCTCGAGAACCTGCACACGGAGACACACGGCAGCTGCAAAGGCACAACAGGGCCTGACAGCACGGCAGGAATTCCCCCGTGTGGCTGGCACAAACCCACGGCTACAGCGAATGTGCCAGCTGGTGGCAAAGCTCGAGCACAGCCGTAAGCAATCAAGGAAGCTCCTCTCTAGGATTTTAGCTCCTCGGGGATGTAAGCCTGCGAGGCGCTTGTTGGATGTGTGCCGAGCATCCTCAGCTCCTGACACAGGCAACCAGTAAAGGTGCTCGGTATTTCAGGGGAGCTCTGAGGATGCGGCCATGCACGTACAGATCGTAACAGTTGAGGCTCCACACACCGCATTCCTGAGGACTGGAAAAAACAGAGGAGGAAGGAAATCAGAGATGAGAGCCAGCGTCTTTATCCAGGAGCTTCCTTTCCCCATTCTAACAGGTCTTAGACTTGCAAAGCACTGTAACTACTCAAAGCCTCTCGCTGCTGACAGCGCGAGTGGTGCATGCTCTGCAACAGCAGTTGCTGGATTTTAACAGATCTTCCCACCTGAGGAACTCAAGAGCACTTTGCAAAGACTCCTACGGAGCAGCTGAAGCACAGCTGCTGGAGGTTGTTTTCTCAAAGCACGCAGCTTCTCTTTTGCACCCCCGCACACAGCTCTGCAGAATATTACTCAGTGCAGGATTTGGCCCAGCGCATTTCTTTTGGCAAGGCTCCCCAGCCAAATTTACCTTGAAAAACATAGCACCAAAGAAAATACCTTATTTACTTCCTCTAGAGTAAAAATTATGGGGCTTATATTGCCAGGCTCATACATTAGCACTGAATAACCCCAAATTTCCCCCCTTCTCCTCCTGGAATCCTGCTCAGGTCGTGGGTGTTGCAGGAAAGCTAACTCCACTCGAACAGCAAGTGGTGGGCTCTACTTGTCACTAGAAATTCAGCTAATTCCACTCAACAGGCTAAGCCACAGGCAGGAGAGGTGAGTGGGAGAAAAGCTAGCTTAACACCCTGCTTTTTAAAATCTGTAGCTACGAGTTAAACTAAAAGTGGCTACACTTTTGAATGAATGCTACCAAAAAAACCCCACCAAACGCTATATAAAATTACGCATCACATCCAAAAGCGTAGGCATGCATCTTCCCACTCTTTCAACTGTTTTTGGTCATAAATACGCTCATTTCAAAAAGAGTGGAAAGAGACAGAGAGCAGGCGGTTGGCCATGATACATCCTCCGAAAGTGGACATCAGGTGGGAGCACTGGGAACGCATGTGCTGGACCGATCGTGGCCCAGAGCTGAACCAAGTGGCCTGGTACTGCAGATGATGGGTTTTCCCCTGGGAAATTACACCATTTTGAGGATTTTTGGGGAAAAAGGTGGGAGAGGGAGAAAGTGTGTCAGGAGAATAATTCAGCTATGGCTAATTTACAAAAATAAACAAAATTAGTTTTATTTCCTCCATGACTTCAGCACACATTGTCCATCAGCCCCCCAGCCTCAACCCCGGAGCTAACCGGGCTCCACAGGGCTCTGCAACAGGTCGCAGCCTCTGATCCCTGGGGATGGGGCTGTCACCTCTCGGTCCCCACACCCACAGAGGAGCTTCGGAGAGATGTGGCCGGGCAGGACACTATGATCATGAGTCCCTCCGATCGGAACACCGGTCAACGCTGCCCTGGGCACCGCCCCGACCTGCCCGTCGGTGCCGATGCCCAGAGCGGTGCGCGATTGTTCCCCGCTCAGTGCTCACCTTTTTCAGAAAGGCCATCCGCGGCCGGTAGCGCTGCCCCTGGTCGAGCCGTGTGACGGTCATGGTGCCGGGCCGAGCGATGGAGCGAGCGGAGCAGGCTGGAGGAACGGCAGTGCC